CAACCTGGTCAACATGGTGAAACCCCGTCTCTACTAAAATACAAAAAATTAGCTGGGCATGGTGGCGCGTGCCTGTAATCCCAGCTACTCAGGAGGCTGAGGCAGGAGAATTGCCTGAACCTAGGAGGCGGAGGTTGCGGTGAGCCGAGATCGCGCCATTGCACTCCAGCCTGGGTAACAAGAGCAAAACTCCGTCTCAAAAAAAAAAAATAATAAATAAATAAATAAAATGCTATGTTACTGATACTCCTAACATAATTTTTAGTGGCCATGAAAACAGTAATTTAATGAACAAGAAGTTTATAAGTGACCTTTATTTTATTCTGTTAAGTGTCTTATTAAAAAACTGTCTGGAAGAACTTGACTTGTAATAGTTCCTTTGACTTGAGGTCATTCATACAGAGATTTGGAATGTGTACAACGAATATTTTGTTTTGCTGGAAATCTAACTGCCACTATGTTAATGTATAAACTGTGGCTTGTAGTACTTACTGATTGACTTAATACTCTCCTAAAAGGTTAAGATTTCATTTTTAGGTTGGAGGAGTGGGACATACAAGGTCTCTGCACAGATTGCATGGCCCTCAAGAATAAGGGACTGAAAACCACATGTGCTTTCTCTTGGCCAGGAACATTAGAATGTCATACCTTTGAATAGATCAAATTGCTTCATAAACAGCCTTTAGCATTGTTCTTAAAAAACCTCATCAAATGTTTCCTTGATTTTATACTTGAAAGTTAGAGACTGTAGAGGCTTAATTTAATAAAATACATATTTTAAAATCACTAGGCTTGGTGTGGTGGCTCATGCCTGTAATCCTGGCACTTTGGGAGGCTGAGATGGTCAGGAGATCAAGACAATCCTGACTAACACAGTGAAACCCTGTCTCTACTAAAAATAAAAAAAAATTAGCCAAGCATGGTAGTACATGCCTGTAGTCCCAGCTACTTGCGAGGCTAAGGCAGGAGAATCTCTTGAACCCGGGAGGCAGAGGTTGCAGTGAGCCAAGATTGGGCCATTGCACTCAGCCTGGCTACAGAGCGAGACTTGGTCTCAAAACAAAAAACAAACAAAATCACCAGTGGTATTTTCAAAAGTGTTCATAACTAAACCATGAAAATCAGAAAGTTAACATTGCTGCTGCCACCTTATTATTGATTCCATTTAGGTTTTGTCACTTTTCTCAGTGATGTTCTTTACAGCAAAATATCCAATTTAGAATCATGTAACACATTTAGTTGATGTATTTCTTCAGTCTGAAGTGGTTATTCACTTTTCCCTATGCTTTAGAGACCAGTTATTTAGTAAAATGAACTTGAATTTGGGTTGTATGGTGTTTTCTCATTGTTAGACTCACGTTATGTATCTTAGGCAGGAATTTCACAAAACCGATTCTGTGTTCTCCTCATTGCATGCTGTCAGGTGGTGTATGATTTTATGTTGTCTTTTTTTCTAGCAGTACTCACAGATAACTTGATTAAAGTAGTGTCTGTTTAGGTGTTCTATATTTGTTTCCTATTGCTGCTGTTACAAATTACCACCAAGTTATTGGTTTAAAACAGCACAGATTTGTTCTCTTAACAATTCTAGAGGCCAGAAGTCCAAATTCAGTTTCACTGGGCCAAACTCAGGATGTTGGCAGGGCTAGTTCCTTCTGGAGGCTCTAGAGTAGAATCTGTTTTCTTGGCCTTTCCAGCTTCTGTGGATAGCCTGTATTCTTTAGCTTGTAGTCCTTCCCTCATCTTTAAAAAGGGCATCACTCCAGCGTCTGTTTCCATTGTCACATCACTATCTCTGTCTTTGACCTTCCTGCCTCCCTCTTAAAAGTACCCCTGTGATTATGGTTCTCCTATGATGATCTCCCATTTCAAGATCCTTAAGTTAGTCATATCTGTAAAGTCCCTTTTGTCATTTAAGATAGTATATTTACTGGTTCCAGCTATTAGGATGTGGACATCTTGGGGAACAGTTATTCAGCCTATCCCACTGTAAAGTCATTCTTTTCCCCTTTGTAATGAGTTCATTATTATTATTATTATTATTATTATTATTTTTTGAGACGGAGTTTCGCTCTTGTTACCCAGGCTGGAGTGCAATGGCGCAATCTTGGCTCACCGCAACCTCCGCCTCCTGGGTTCAGGCAATTCTCCTGCCTCAGCCTCCTGAGTAGCTGGGATTACAGGCACACGCCACCATGCCCAGCTAATTTTTTTGTATTTTTGGTAGAGACGGGGTTTCACCATGTTGACCATGATGGTCTCAATCTGTTGACCTCGTGATCCACCCGCCTCGGCCTCCCAAAGTGCTGGGATTACAGGCGTGAGCCACCACACCCGGCCTATTATTATTATTTTTTTAAGAGACAGAGTCTTACTCTGTTGCCCAGGCTGGAGTGCAATGGCGCGATATTGGCTCACTGCAACCTCCACCTCTTGGGTTCAAGCGATTCTCCTGCCTCAGCCTCCTGAGTGGCTGGGATTACAGACATGAGTCACCATGTCTAGCTAATTTTGTATTTTTAGTAGAGACGGGGTTTCACCAAATTGGCCGGGCTGGTCTTGAACTCCCGACCTCAAGTGATTCACCTGCCTCAGCCTCCCAAAGTGCTGGAATTACAGTCATGAGCCACTGCACCTCATCTCTTTTCCCCATTGTAATTGGTATTTTGTGGAAAGATACTTGGATTCCTGGTTCCTGTTAGTGGAGAATGGTATTTAGAAGCCAAGATCTGCATGCTAGATGTGCTCATTGCTACTGGGATTTTTCTGCTCCTAGGCCCACTTAGTAGATAGAGCTAGGGAATATATATGTATATATTTAAAGCTGCATTTGTATTTCTTTATTAAAAGACATTCATTCATAGTGGTATCTTTAATTCTGATTCAGTAGAACAGGGTTCTTTCTTGTTTTCTATTTTTTCACACCTTTTTTTTGACAGTGGAAAACTGACTCCAGCTATCTTTAATATATTAACTTATTTGATCAGTCCCCCTGCATATTATCAGTCTCCTTTTCTGCTACCATACTCTCTCGTGCATGGACTCCTCCCTCTTCCCGATACTTGGTTTTGATACCTCTTGCTGGGTAGTCCTCCCTTGTGGATGACATCATCTAAGCATGGTGATAACAGGGTAGTTGGACTTCTTACATGGTTGTTTTGGAACCTTCTATTATATGCCAAGTCTTTTTACTTATCTGTTACCTCAGTTAAGGACTGCAGTTTGATAGATTTTTTTTTAACTTGGTAAAAAAAAATTATAATTAGCCAGCTGGACTCATTTTAGATGATCTCAATTTTGTTGGCAGCATTTAAAACATCATAATTAGGAGCCAGTTGGAGATACACCTTCTTGTCTCCATCAGGCCTGATGAGTGTGTTTACTGTGGCTGTGCTAGTGTCATAGAGCTTCTTCACAGCCTGTTTGATCTGGTTGACTTTGACATCCATAGTAAGTACAAATGTGGTGGTGTCTTCTTCATGGCTGCCTTAGTGGTCAAGGGGACCTTGTTAATGCATAATGATAAAGCTTGTATTTTGAGGGGTTGTTCTTCCTAGGATATTTGAATTGCCTTTGGAGCTGCATTGTCTTGGGCCACTGGAAGGTGGGTGGCTGGTCTTATTTTGTCTGGTTGTGGATGCCTTTCAGCACTGCCTTCTTGTCCTTTGAAGCCTTTGCTTTGACTTTGGCTTTGGGGTGGACAAGGGCTTCCTCCTCTGTTTTTGGTGCCATCTTCTTAAAAAGGCAGATTTGCATTCCAAAACTTACTTAATTTTTTTGTTTGTCTGTTTTTAGAAGGAGTCTTGCTCTGACGCCCAGGCTGGAAGTGCAGTGGTGCGATCTCTGCTCACTGCAACCTCCACCTCTCAGATTCTCTTGCCTTAGCCTCCCGAGTAGCTGGGATTACAGGCACGGGCTACCACACCCAGCTAATTTTTTATTTTTGGTGGAGACAGGGTTTTACTATTTTAGCCAGGATGGTCTCCATCTTCTGACCTCATGACGCCCGCCTCAGCCTCTCAACATAATTTTTTTTTAAATTGGGAGAGTTATTCAATCCAACTGATTGTGGTGAATTTAGTAAAACAATACATAGTATTTTGGCTTGAGTTTAATTTCTTTTTAATTGAACTGCGAGTTTTCCTGAGGATTAAAATAATAGCTTTTTTTTTTTTTTTTTTTTGAGACAGAGTTTTGCTCTTGTTTCCCAGGCTGAAGTGCAGTGGCACCATTTGGCTCTCTGCAACCTCCACCCCCTGGTTCAAGTGATTCTCCCGCCTCAGCCTCCTGAGTAACTGGAATTATAAGCATGTGCTACCACATCTGGCTAATTTTGTATTTTTAGTAGAGACTGGGTTTCACAGTGTTGGTCAGACTAGTCCTGAACTCCTGACCTCAGGTGATTTGCCTGCCTCGGCCTCCCAAAGTGCTGGGATTACAGGCGTGAGCCACTGCACCCGGCCTTAATAGCTATTGTCACAAGTCTTGCATAAACTTATTTTACATGGAATTTCACTCTGTCACCCAGGCTGGAGAGATCTCAGCTCACTGTAACTAACCTCTGCCTCCCGGGTTCAAGTGATTCTCGTGCCTTAGCCTCCTGAGTACCTGGGACTACAGGCGTGTCTATTTTTTGGATTTTCAGTAGAGACAGGGTTTTGCCGTATTGACCAGGTTTGTCTTCAACTCCTGGCCTCAGGTGATCCACCTGCCTCAGCCTTCCAAAGTGCTAGGATTACAGACATGAGGCACGGTGCCCGACCCCATAAACTTAAACTTAAGTTCTTATGGGTTTGAGAGATTTTTCCAGATTAACACAAAATTATTAGAATTTGTGATACTGAATTTTACTCTACCTTTTTTTTTTAAATAAAATTTTTAAAATGGTGCTTTTTTGGGGGGTGAGGGGGCTCTGAGGCAGGAGGATTGCTTGAGGCCAGGAGTTCAAGACTAGCCTGGGCAACATAGCAAAATCCAGTTTCTACAAAAATTTAAAAAAAAAAAAAGATGAATGCTTCACAGATTTGCTTGTCATCTTTGGGTGAGGGCTATGCTAATCTTCTCTGTATTGCTCTGGTTTTAGTGTATGTGCTGCTGAAGCAAGTACTCTAACTTTGTTTTAACTGCAAGTTGATTTTATGTTACAGCTCCAAATCTAACTAGTTATATCTTAAATAAATGAGATCTAAACTTATTGATTAGAAGACATTTTGATAGGCATTACTTTTATGTTTGAGAAGTATTATTTCTGCTTAGCTTCCTTAATAAACCATGTTTCAACTATTTTATACTTCTTGTTCCTTCTATAGCGGAAGGGAAAGAGGGAGAGAATTTCCCAGAAATTACTGATTATATCTTACTATTTTGGGTGCAAGTCAGATTTTGCATTTTCATTAAGTCTCATGTGAAAAATGACCACCCGGTAGCTGAATGAAGTTTTCTAGATAGGTTATTTGTTCTAAGTGGCAGAAATTTTAACCTATCTTGTAAAATTTTTAAAGACTATTAGAATAGGCAGTACTTTCATGTTCCAATAAAATATTAGCATGGTAATAAAGGTTAGTATGGTATTAACTCTGGTTTTGCCTTCATTGGGAAAAATGGTTTTTAATTCATCTTATTTTTCTTTCTTGACAGAGCAAATTCGATTAAAGAATATAAGAAAAGTATATGGAAGTTGTATGTGGTATCGCTTACGGTTATCAAAACCCCAGCCAAATATTATTCCTACAGTAAAGTAAGTAATGGATTTCAAGGAGAAACCTGCTTAATGCTTACTCTTTGCTAGGTCATATAAAATATATGTGTAATGAGGAATAAGACATTGTGTCTGTAAAGAAATTGTAACCTCTAGTTTGGGTAAGATATGAGAAAATGTGAGAGCAGTCTGAACAGAGTGGTTTAGAAGTTCAAGGAGAGTTTACTATTGCTGGGGATCATGGGAAAGAGAGAGATAAGTCATATATTGAAGGGAGGACCTTGTGCACCTTGTGCCAGGACTTAAATTTTATCTTAAAGACTATGGGGGAATCTTTAAAAGATTTCAGAAGTAGAGCGGTGACATGAGTAAGTTAGCATTTCATGGTGATAATTAAAGTTTATTGAGCAGATACCGTATGCCAGAATCTGTGCTAGGGCTTTATATGTTATCTAATTTAATTCTGTATTAACTTCAAAGTAGATGGTTTTGGTTTTTCTCAGATGAAGAAACTAAGGCTAAGAATGATGACGTAACTTGACCAAAGTCATGTAGTTAGAAGTGTTGGATCAGTGACCTAATCACCCTTTATTTTAGCAGGCCCATCTGCTTAAACAGGTCATTAACATGTTTAATTATAGCAGACCAGTTTAATTCTGTGAGGCTATGGGGTGTACTGGTTATTAAGAGTAAGGCTTTCAACATTTATCCTGAGTCATCAATTTAGAGGTAGTAGGTGAAACTGACAGAAGGTGAGAGAGTTACCATTCTTGGACAACTGTGTCTTGTGAATTACCTACATTTAACCAGTAGATAGGAAGAGAAGATGTAGCAAAATAAATTAGTAAGAGTAGAACCAGGTATTTTAAAATCTTGGTTTAAATGATAGTTTTTTCAGCATAATTTCAGCGGGCTTAGTTTTTCTTTGTAAGGTTTGAATTTGCCTAGTTTATTTCTTTTTTTTTGTTTTTTTGAGACAGAGTCTTGCTCCAGGCTGGAGTGTAGTGGTGCCATCTTGGCTCACTGCAGCCTCAGCCTCCTTAGGCTCAGGCATTCCTCCCACCTCAGCCTCCCAAGTAGGTGGGAGTACAGGCATGGGCCACCATACCTGGTTAATTTTCTTTGTATAATTTGTAGGGATGGGTTTTCACCATGTTGCCCAGGCTGGTCTCGAACTCTTTGGGCTCAAGTGATCTGCCTGCCTTGGCCTTCCAAGGTGGTAGGATCAAAGGCATGAGCCACTCTGTCCATCCAATTTAGTTTCTTTGTAGGAGGAGGGAAATTTTAGCTTTGGTGTTAAGAGTTTTTTAATGACATGAAACTAAAGGGAAAGTTAGTCTTGAAAAGAGTAATTTTTCTATTCACTGTTTATTCTTTGCTGTTGGTTCTCATTTTAAATTAAATTTTCATAAAACAGCAAGACAAGAAGCAATCCCCCACCCCCATATCTATGGGTTTCACAGGGGAAGATTCAACCAACTGTGAATCGAAAATATTTGGGAAAAAAGCAATAAAATTAACAATATACAACAATTAAAAATATAAATAAACAATACAGTATAATAACTATTTCCACAATGTACATTGTATTAAGTATTATAAGTAATTTGGAAATGATTTAATGTACGTGGGAGGATGTACATAGGTTATATGCAAATACGACATCATTTTGTATGGGGGACTTGAGCATCCATGGATTTCATCCATGGATTTTGGTATCTGTGGTGTCCTGGAACCAGTCCCCTGAGGATGCCAAGGCATGCCTGTATTTTTGGCCTCCCAATCTCTTGTCTGGCTTTGTTCAACACTTTGTGAATATCTGAACTTCTGTTTTCAAGGAAACAAACTTTTATGAAGCTCTTTCAGTGATTAATAAACTGATTTACTTGAAGTACAGATTCAGGGAGTTTAGGTAACAAAGAATTAAAATATATATTAGTAACAGTTTAGATAAGGTCAGAAACCATTAAAACTTTTGCTACCTAATCTTGAAGCATTCCTTCAAAGTTAAGTTGCTGTGTAATGCTTCTAACAGCATCTGTGAAACTTAAGGCATGTACTTTTTGGAAGTTGCTTCTAAAGGTGATACTTCAGCCTGGTCACGGTAGCTCCTGCCTGTAATCCCAGGATTTTGGGAGGCTGAGGTCGGGGGATCACCTGAGGTCAGGAGTTCGAGACCAGCCTAGCCAACATGATGAAAACCCTGTCTCTACTGAAAATAAATAAATAAATAAAAATTAGCTGGGCTTCGTGGTGCGTACCTGTAGTCCCAGCTACTTAGGAAGCTGAGGCAGGAGAATCGTTTGAGACCAGGAAGTGGAGGTTTCAGTGAGCTGAGATTGGGCCTCTGCACTCCAGCCTGGGTAACAGAGCAAGACTCTGTTCCCACTTCCAGCACTGCCGCCAGAAAAAAAGATGACACTTGAGGTTAGTTACTGAAGCCACGTGTGGGGAAAATGTTTATCTTTTCAGAGGAACCAAACAGGTTTTTTTTAAAATAATTGAGCACAGAGCATGATGTGATCCATTATGTTTGCTTTGGTTATCAGGAAAATAGACCATGGCTTTATTGGCTGTGGTAATTTTTAACAGCCTTGGGATTCTCTTATGAGCTTTTCCTTTCCTCTTCTCATTCCTTGGATTGGAGAGCTAGATCTCCATGTAAAACATCTAACAGAGTTTAGCATATCCTAGGTGTTTTGTTCCTTTTGCCTTGTTTGGTTTTAAATCTTGGCTTTTTGGTTTTCAGTTTCATTTTATCGTCATTTTGTGAGCCTTGTTAACCTTTTGGAGGAGTTGGAAAAACAAGAGGATTTAATTTGTATGGGAATAAAGCATATTTAAAATTGTTTTTTTAATCCTATTGAGGTTATTACCAAATTTTAGGTTTAAAAAGTGTTAAAAAAAAAAAAAGTTTGCTGTTGAAGGTTGGTTGCAGTGCTCATGCTTAATCCCAGGTGGGAGGCTGAGGTGAGAGGATTGCTTGAGCCTGGGAGGTAGAGGCTGCAGTGAGCCATGATCATGATTTAAAAACAGGTCACTCAAGTTTTGTTTGATTTGGCCTCTTAAGATTTATTTGGTGTCTTTGTCTAACAGTTCTTGCTCAGTATAACAAATTGTCATACAAAGGGTGTAAAAAATAAAAGCCATTCAGTTTCGTCACCTAAAACTAGTTATTATTAAGATAATTATATACTTATTTATAACTTTTATATACATAGAGTTTTGAAAGCTATTTTGTAAATTTAACAATATAAGATACAGTCATCCACAGCAAATTTTTTTTTTTTGAGGCAGAGTTTCGCCTCTTACCCAGGCTGGAGTGCAATGGCGCGATCTCAGCTCACCGCAACCTCCGCCTCCTGGGTTCAAGCAATTCTCCTGCCTCAGCCTTCTGAGTAGCTGGGATTACGGGCACGTACCACCATGCCCAGCTAATTTTTATATTTTTGGTAGAGATGGGGGTTTCACCATGTTGACCAGGATGGTCTTGATCTCTTGACCTCGTGATCCATCCGCCTCAACCTCCCAAAGTGCTGGGATTACAGGCGTGAGCCACCGCGCCCAGCCCCACAGCAAATATTTTTAATGGCTAGAAAGTATTTTCACTGTAGAGGTTGGGCACTGTGGCTCATGCCTGTAATCCCAGCGCTTTGGGAGGCTGAGGCAGGTGGATCATTTGAGGTAAGGAGTTTGAGACCAGCCTGGTCAACATGGTGAAACCCTGTCTCTACTAAAAATACAAAAATTAGCTGGGTGTGGTGGCATGCTCCTGTAGTCCCAGCCTGTAGTCCCAGCTACTTGGGAGGCTAAGGCAGGAGAATGGTGTGAACCTGGGAGGCGAAGTTGCTGTGAGTCGAGATTGTTCCACTGTGCTCCAGTCTAGGTGACAGAGACTCCATCTCAAAAAAAAAAAAAGGTCCATTGAAAGTACCAAATAAACTGATGGTACATCTCTACAGTGAAATACTTTCTCTTATTTACATCTGTGACCGCTATTATACACTTTATATACTTAACTCTTTCTAAATTTTTTGAGGTCAAGTGGATTGATAGAAAAACAGTCTATTTCTTTAGGGCTTTTAATACCTTATTGCCAGATATTATTTTACAGTATATAGTATATAAGAGTTTCTCTTTTTCTTTAACCACTCCAGTACTGGTAGTGTGAAACTTTTTTATATTTTTACTCAACAGAACACATTAGAGGGAGCAGAAATTAGTTTATTTTCAAATTATATGTTCTTTATTTTAGCCTATTCTGAACATCTTTCTATAACTACTGGCTACAAATGTTGCATTGTGTGGCTGTCTTGTGGTTGATTTAATTAATGATTTCTCTAAAAATGGTTTATTAAACCAGTTCCTATGAATGGACACTTACATTTTTTTCCAGAGTTTTACTGCTG